AGGATGGGTGACAGTCAGTGCTGTGACTCCAGCCCACAGAGCCAGCCAGTCTGTTCCCTGCTCTGCAGGGGAGTCCTGTAATGATCCCAACCTACCTGCTCTGGGATTAAAGGCTCCTGACAACTCTCAATTGCAGCTCATTACTCACCCCCCAAAGCAAAGCAGAGCTGAGGCAGAGCTCACAGCCTGCTCAGAGGGGCCAGGATGGCTCCACATCACCAGCCTGGGAGCTCTAGCTTGGGTTAAATGCAATTATTCCAGCTGAGATGCTGCCCAATTGGATTTATAGGTCAGACTTGTGTTTCTGTGGGAGATCAGAACACAACTGCAACCACAGATGAGTTCTCCGTGGTGCTAATTTACGTCAGGTTATAATTTTGGTAACTTGCAATTTCTTCAAAAGAACAATTAAGGAAAGATCATTTGCAAGGAATGGGAAGATCACAGCTCAGGAGCTCTCCAGGAGAGGGCAACACTTCAAACAGCAAAATACTTCTCAGAAATGTGACTCCATCTCGAAATAAACTGCACTCTCAGCCACTGAGCTGCAGCTGAGCTCAGTGTCACCTCCACTGTCAGGCACAGCAAAAGGCAGTTTGGTTTTCAATGGGTGTCTTTTTACAAAATCACTTTCCAACAGTTTTAGCCTCTCAAAAATAGAAAATTCTCCCTTTTAAGCCATCAGTAGGCTGTGCCTGTGACTCACCAGTCACCAGACAAGAGCATCTGATCCTATCTGACAGAAGGGAAAGCAGCATAATGCATCTCTAACAATAAACCAGAATTCTAAACTGTTGCTGAAGGGTTTGATGTATAAATGCTACTGGTAACTTCTCCTGGTACCTCTGTGACAGGACAAACCTGGTGGGCTCTTTGCAGATTGACTCATGACCAAACTGGAAGGCTCCTGACACATGCTCTGCCTGGGTGTCCCCAGACAGAGCAGAAACATCAGATTTGCAGGAAATCCAAGCTCAACCCAATGCATATTCCTGTAATGACTCAAGTGAACAGCAAAAATAAAAGGGGAATGAGACAAATGTGGCTCCTATCCAGGGAACATTCCCTGCTGCAGAAGTGAGGCCTGAGCCAGGGGACAGCATCTGTTTTCCACCCAGTGCAGCTCCCAGTGTCAGAGGGAACACACGTGCAGCAAGCAGTGCCACTCACCCTGCTCCTGGCCTTGATGCGCTTGTAAACGAAGTCAGGGAATGGTTTCCTGGGGATATACCTCCCGGAGCCTTCGGTGACGTGGAGATTCCCATCCTCCAGGACAATCTTCCCCTGGCTGATCACCACCAGGGGAGAGCCACGGCACTCCATGCCCTCGAAGATGTTGTACTCCAGAGACTGCAGCAAACAAAAACACCACGTGAGGCAAACCTCTTCACCCAGCAAAGCTTTAATTAGCAATCGCTGCTCGCGCTAATTGCCAACATTTTAAAGACAGGTGGAAGCAAACTCAGCAGTGTTTACCTGAGCAGTGTATGTTGTGGTTTAATAAAGGCTGATTTCAATCAGTCTATATTTAGTGAGGGTTTAAGTAATGCAAAATTTCCATTGAAACAAGATTGATAAAGAATCCCAGAATGGTTTGGTTTGGAAGGGAACTTAAAGCTCATCTGGTTCCACCCCCTGCCCTGGGCAGGGACACCTCCCACCAGCCCAGGCTGCTCCAACCCCATCCAACCTGGCCTGGAACACTCCAGGGATGGAGCAGCCACAGCTGCTCTGGGCAAGAGGAGAAGGAGTTTCAAATGAAAGTACCTCAAGGCCTCCCTGTCAAAATGCATTTAGGCACCTCTCTCTGCTCAACTCTGAGGGGTTTAGGAGCCAAAAAAAGCTTTATCTAAGCTACATGTTAAAAACAATGATAATTTTGAAAATCTGTATTTCAAACCGGTGTTTTGGTCAATGGGTCAGGGACCAGGACAATCTTGTTTTACTCTAATGGGATTGCTCATCCTCAATTAACAGGATTGGCAATGTTACACCATGGAAAAAAGGCAAAGTTTTAAAGGAATCACTGGAAATGTCACCCCAGTGAAGCATCCTGGAACGAGATGCACTGCAACTGTGTTATTTGGGGACTGTTGCTGCAGTGACCATCTCTGAGACAAGTCCAGGTCTTTCCCACTGAGTTAATGATGGAGTTTGCCCTTGCAGTGTGTTGTAAGTATGGGCAAGCTTGACTGCAGCTTTCCAGTTGGCCAGGACAGTGGTTAAACCCATCCTGAACCAGGTCCAGTCCCAAAAAGATTGTGGTGGCAAAGGAGGAGGCTTGGTTAGGAGCTTATGGACCAAGCTGCTTCCAAGAACAACACATCTCCCTCCCTAGCTCCTCATGTTTCCTTGCCAGAGAGTGGCAAGCACAGTGTGAATTCTTGGAAAATATCTGTAAGTTGCTTGAGCATTTCAGAAAGTAACAATCATCCACTGCCACAAACTGCCTGTGTGTGCCTGCTCTGCTCTCAAAGGCCTTTTGTTTCCTGGGGGCCAAACCAGGACCTCTGGACTCCAGGGGCATCACTCCTAGCCACTTCTCCAACACCAGGCACACGTGTGAGACACACAGAGATACAGAATCACTGAGGCTGGAAAAGACCTCTAAGATCATCGAGTCCATCCTGACTGCATTGGCTCATACCCACAAAAGATAAAGTCTCTGAGTTCTGTGTTAGGAAATGTAAAGAGCCCAATTCATTTCCTAAAAACAACAGCCATTAAACAGCAGTGACTTCCAAATACTTCATCCAGCAAGCTACTTCCAGCTCTCTGAGCCATTAACAAACACAAACTCAGGATCTGACCACTAAATTTGGCACCTAAAGGCAGTGTGTCCCTGGGCTGCCTCCCCCAAGTCATTCCTCTCCAGACTGGAAGGAGTCTGGAAGCAGCTCTAAGGTGCCTGAAGTGACCAGAGTCCTGGATTCCTCTGTCAGAAGTCTGAGCAGAGGCAGGATGAAGCCAGGCCATCTGTGACCAATTCTGACACAGAGTTAAGTCACAGGGAAGTGAACCAAACCTTTAAAAAACAAGTTTCTTTGTGAATGTGCCCAGGGATCCAAGTGTGGAAGAAAATTTTGCTCCTTCAGCTCCAGAGTGAATGAAAGCATTCACAGAAAACAAAAGAACAAGGAGGTTTTTTCCAGGGAAACATTCCATAGGTTAATGACCAGCAGGGAAACAAGTTGTCAACAAATGCAAACAGTGGTTGCTTTCTCTGAGCCAGGGCTCGACTGTCACAGGGAAACTCCAACCAGCCCCTGGCACTGGGACCACTCTGCACATCCCCATGGGGTGGGACAGCTTTTTCACCACAGGGGCCATGAATAAGGAATGGGACACAGCAAACTGCATCTAACAGTGCCACCATGAAGCTGCAGAAGGACCAAGGGGAAGGTCTGGTTAGTTTAGGTGCTGCCTTGCATCTTCCTCTGCCAAGTAACATGGGGATGATGAGCAGTAAAATCATGGGTATGACTCCATGTACACATGGCAGAGCAGTATGTGATGTGAATCCACTCAGAACCATTGATCTGGGTCAGATCTCCAGCAAAGGTGTCCAGGAGCTGCCAAGTTTCACTGACCCCAACTAGAGAAGGGCAGTGCCATTTCCAGTGCTAGTGAGCCAGGAGGTCATAAACAAGAGTCATGAGAGGCCTTTTGATATTTTCCAAGATTTAAAGAGCTTTCTGTGTGCCCAGATCCAAGCAACCAGTGCTCACAAAGAGCAGACAAACCCTTTGCTCCGAGGGAATCTCTGGATACTCATGTGATTTCAGATTTGGCCTTGCTCAGCTCACACAGTTGAGCTCCAGAGTGTAAGACCAGAGAGAGCAATGAGAAAACAAGTTGTCACGAGCTCTGGCTCTGGGCAGCACAGCCTGGCACTGAGCAAGAGAGGGGGAAAGGAGCAGCAGAGCTCACACCATAGGACATCTCCTTACTATGTTGTGGGTCTTGGCAGAGATCGTCTTGACAGTGTCAGGGTCCCAGATGACCAGGTCAGCGTCGGAGCCCACGGCGATGCGACCCTTCCGCGGGTACAGGTTGAAGATCTTGGCTGCATTTGTGCTGGTCACAGCCACAAACTGGTTCTCATCCATCTTGCCAGTCACCTGGGGAAAGACCAGAGGAATCACTGCAGGAACCAGGTGAGGACCACTCCAAAAAGCAAAGAGCTGACAGCACAGCAGATTCCCAATCATCTCCACAGGGGGAAAAAAACCTCAAGTGGAGGGAACATATTAACTGTCTGGGGGAGATAATCACCCCTGAATGCCTAGTTGAAACCTAAACCTACGACATGTGTGACATACCACAGCCTTATCCCAGATGATGGACATCCTCTCTTCAGTCCCGTTGGTTCCTTCAGGGATCAGGGTGAAGTTGTCCTTCCCAACAGCTTTCTGAGCAGTGTTGAAGGTGCAGTGGGCACTGCCAGTCACTTGGAGGTCTCCACTGGAGAAGACAGCAGTATTTGAGACATTTTATTGTCACAGGTTTACACCTAAAGGTAAACCAGCTCTTTTGCTTGCTGGCAACAACAGTTATCATTTTATTATCCATTTGGCTCACGCTGAAGAACACGTTGTGTGGACACAGAGAGCTCTACTCACCAGGACAGTAGTGAGTTGAGAAAATCAGGAGTGGTTGGGTCAGGACTCAGTGGTGGGGAGGTAACAAAAGCTGCTGCCTTTGCCCAGTTCTTGCTCCAGTAATGGGATCCATCAGTACCCAAGCTGGCTGTGATGGGCTCTCCATACACCACAGTGCCTACAGGACAGGAACACACACAAACCCACTGTGAGCACCAGGCAATGTGCATCTCCAGGCAGAAAGGAACCTCCTGAGAGAGGACAAGGTGGGTAAGTTCATAGAAAAAAAAAAATCACAGAATCAACCAGGCTGGAAAAGACCTCCAAGATCACCAAGTCCAACCCTACCGTGGTCACTAGCCCATGGCACCAAGTGCCACATCCAGTCTCAGCCTAAAAACCTCCAGGGATGGTGAACCCACCACCTCCCTGGGCAGCACATTCTCCCAGGCAACCAGCAGCAGGACAAGAGGGCACAGCCTCAAGCTCTGCCGGGGGAGGTTGAGGTTGGATATCAGGAAGAGATTTTTTACAGAGAGAGTGCTCAGGTGCAGCCCTCCCACCACCTGTTCCGTGCCCACACACCCACCCCGGGCTCAGGCAACTCCTGCCTCTGTACCTGCCTGCAAAAACGTGGGTGGTTGAGACACTTAACCAGAAAAGATTGGCAAAGGCAAGCCCAGAATTGGTCAGCAAGGCCTTATACCTCAGCAGACAGAGGCAAAAATGTGACTTCTTTCACCATGTTGTCAGAGTTACTGCTGTGCCTGGGCAGTCTCAAGCTAGCTGGGGAAGAGTCCATTAGCTAAGGCAGAACAGCAATTAACTGGCCAATTACTGCTTCCAGGACCCCACTGACACAGGGTGCAGGAACAGCCTCTGTCAGAGGGTTTCCACCAGCAGAGGAAGAGGCTCCTGACATCACTGGCCACAAACAGGGCTATGAAATGAGAACAAGGCAGAGCACACGCTGGTTATTAACGGAGGCCTGTCGGGGACAAGCACATTGGGAGGATTGTTCTGCAGGGAGGGATGTTTGGAGCTCCCAGATCTGCCAGTGACACTGTCTGCAGGGAATCTCCTCCATACAAATGCCACTAGGAACATCTGGCTTTAAATAACCTTCGGGTTTTTTCCATTTAGCAAAACAATTCTGGCTTGTTTTCGCCTTGGATTGTCTTCAGTTATGTTTCCTCCGCTGCTCGGGAGGGCAAGGCTAGTGTGTGTGGCCCTTCTGGGTTACTGCACTGCATTTACATTGAGTTATTTAAATAAAGGAAGGGAGAATGGGACACCATTCTATCCCAAATTCTCCTTATAAGGAGAAAACGCAATTTGAATGAAAGCTGTGTGTTCTAGCTCGCTCGGGAGGAGAAGTGAAGTGAGTTCTGTGGATCATTCATGTGGGACAATCACAGGCAGGATAACATCCATCCCAGCTAAGTTGTGTTTTCTGACTTCTGTGACCCAAGTGTATGTTCCCTCACCCCAATGCCTCACTCTGCTTGCAGCTGGTGGTCCCAGGGGACAGTGAGCAGATGTTTCTGCTGATGCTTCACCTCTGGTGTGAGGGCACAGCCTGACTGGAGGCCTCACCAATGACAACAACACTGACCTTGAGAGGTAAGTCTGCACCTGGGAGACTAACCAGGCTGAAAACATGTTTTGAGAAAGGACTGGGAAAGGAGGATGATTAGTCTGTGGGGATAACGAGGCAAACATCCTGAGAGGAATGAAGATGATGTCGATAAGAAGAGAATGTTTTGGGATAGTTAATGAGGGCACATATAAACAACTGCTGACCAATAAATTAAGCATTACCACATCACTGACCAAAAGATAGTTAACACAGTGTGTGAAAAAGAGTATAAAAGAAGCACTGTAGAAATGGTGGGGATTGGGGATTAGTATTAGAAATAAAGTTTTGCTGTTGCCACAGATCCTGTGTCTGGACCATCTCTACATTCACAGCGACGTCTGCAACACTATGGTCCAGGACTTTATCTGGAAAAGGGCAGGGATGATCCCTGGCTCACAGGATTCAGCTGTACAACATCAAGTTGTTGACATGGCAGCCACTTTACCACGTCAACACATCTCCTTTCAGCATGATCCCCACACTAATGGAGCTGGGAGAGGAAGGTTTATCCCAAACAGCTTGAGCTGCTTCTGCACCACAGACAGAAAGAGATGCCTTGGAAATCAGTTTTCCTCACCAACTCTAACTCATTTAACAGGAATCATGGGAAGAAAACACTCCCGAGCCAATGCACAAACACAAATCCGTTTGCTGCGGTAGGAAATTAGCTCTTCTCGCACCAAACACCCAGATGGAAAGTGATGTCATTTGTATATCCATCCAGGCTTCTTTAGACTGCAGAGAATCAAATCCAGCCCTTGTGAGGAAAGAAGGGGGCAAATCATCACTCCTGCTCACTCACCCACCTAGAGCCACTTTAAATAGCACGGAGGGTTTAGTCACAGGATGCAGCAGGCGCCAGGAGCTCGCCGTGCTGGTACCCCTGGCACCTCGAGGGCAGCAGGGGCAGGGCCCAGGGGAAGCTGCTGCCTCACTCAGAGCAGCTCAGCTCCCTCCCTGACATCAGTTAGAGAGGAGAGACACAGAGGCAGCCACAGCAGGTCTGAGTCCTGCTTCCTGCAGCATCCTGGAGTAGAGCGATCCGTGGCGACTGCAATTCCCAGCCTAACTCAGACTGCTGATCCCAACTCCTAGTCAGGTGCCAGGCTGTGAGCTACAGCACGTGAGGAGTACCTACCTCACCAGCAAGGAACACAGTGGGCAGCTAGAACTTGTGACCTCTTTGGCTACTCCAACTAAATCCAACAAGGCTTGTGAGTCAAGACCTCTGTCAGGATTCCTGGATTCACTTCTGCCCCCAGGAAGCTCAGCAGAAAGCACCAAGGAAAAACCATAGCAGCTGGAAGGAGGACCCAGCTGCAATCTCCAAGGGGATTCACTAAATGGAGACAGCATGGAATGACTCTGCAAGAACATGAAGGCACATGGCTCAGCGTGGGAGGAGGAGTGTGAAGGGAAAGGCTCAGGGCTGAGCAGAAGAAACAGCTCTTGGGTCTGACACAGCCACTGAATACTTGTCTGTGGGAGATGAGGCAGAAGGAGCTGCTTGGGAGCTTTTAAAAAAGCCTGGACAATAACACTGGAAAAATAAACTTTTCCTGTAGGGATGAAGCTAACGTTGGCAGGGACTTGAAGTGCATGAGCTAAGAGGGAAATAACTTACCCTTTTTCCTGGCTTGAGCAATGACATCGGCGGCACTTTTGCTCATCACCTTGGTGATATAAAGGGGACAGTTGGTCTGGTTGGCAATGGTTATTGCCCTGTTCACAGCCTCTGCCTCCACCTGAGGAGCAAAGGCAGCAGCAGGTTAGCAACACTCCACGTGTCAGTGCACCCCAGGCACCCTCAGAGGGACACAGGCAAACAGGAGTGCAGGGCTGGGATGAGGCACTTCCCTCCCCTCCAATTCTGAGCCAGAGAATGTACAGTGTCATCACAGCAATTAAATGACATCAAGCTGTAGTTCCCTCTCATTACGACCTTTCCTCCCAGGCTGCTTCAGAGTTTCTCTGCAAGCAGATTACATCTGACTCCAGGTGCTCAGGGTCAGAATGATTAAGCCCCTTCTTTAACCCAGACAAAAAAAAAAGCAGCTAACAGTTGACTCAACAAAACTATTCACGTTCCAGCCCAGTGGAAGAGAGATGCTGTCCCACAGGCTCTGGTCAGCCACGTTTGCAAACGAGGCTCCTAAATTGTACCCTCCACTGCAATCTCTGGCTTGGGATCTGACAGAGTGTGAACCACCCCATAAATCAACTCCTTTTTCTTGCCTGTGTGGAGAGATTAACCTCAGCAAAACCGAGGGTCATGTTCTAACTACAGCCTCAGAATGATCTGCATCACTCTGCAGACTTTCATGGCTCACACATCCTAATCAAAGGATCCAGATGACAGATTTAACAGCAGGGTGATGCCCATGCCTACTGGACTCTGGTGAGGTTGGCACATGCTCAGCACTTGTGAAAATCTGCTCTACGGTGACTCATCACAGTCCAAGCACCACAAATTTTACCATCAGTCCCAGAATCACAATCCATTGCTCAGCAAGGACTCTCCATCCCTGGGGGTGATCAAGGCCAGGCTGGATGGGGCTTGGAGCAACCTGGGCGAGTGGAAGGTGTCCCTGCCCAAGAGGGAGGGGATGGAACAAGACTCTTCCAACCCAAACCATTCCATGATTTTGTGACTGCTGGCTCCCAGCACTGTGCCTGGGGGAAAAGAACCACCTGAGATCAGGGACCCACCAGCCCAGAGGACTGTACATTGGCCAGACTGATGTCCAAGGGCCCAGCACAGCTCTGCTCACACTGATGAAGACACCACTTGCCCTCACACCCTGTTTGCTCCAGAAAAATAACAGGACAAGAGCTGGGAGCCTTCAGAAGCAAACCAGCCCAGCAGAGGCAGCAGGCTGGGCTCTGGTGCCCAGAGGGTTAAAGCCCCAGCCTGTCCCCATGCCAGGCCTGGCAGCTGACCCCCCCAGGCAGGAGGTACACACAAGGGGACATTTTCTGGCCCAGCTGCCCCACACAAATGGGAAAGGCTGTGAGGGAGTGTGTTTGTTCCAGGATGTTTAATTCCAAGTGTCACAGCCAGCAGCACTTGCAGGGGCTGAAAGAGGAGCCAAGAAAAGCACAGTTGTCCCTTCTGAGAGCCAAGGAGAGGACTCAGACAGGCCAGTGCTGCCATGCCATCCCATCCCTTTGCAAACTCCCCATTAAAGCAGGTCTGGGCATGGCTCTGTCACTACAGCACCTAGAAGTCTTGTTTCCAATCTGAGCCTCAGTTTCCCCACAGGCAGAGCAAAGATAAAACCACACACATCCCCAGACTTTCACCCAAAAGGCATCTGAGCAACTGCTAAGCAGCAAAAGAATATTTTCTGCACAGAAGAGAACCAGGCTGCTGAATTCATGCCTTGTGCCCAGATGCTATGGTGACAGGCACATAACAATAACCCAAGGACTGGTCCAAAGGGGAATGTTTGCAATTACCAGTATGCACTAGAAGCCCTAGCACAGCAGTTCTCTTGGAAAAAAAAAAAAGACAGACATTTCCTGGAGCACTTGGACTGCTTGTGCCTTGAGCATTTTTGTGGCTAGAATAAAACCAAAAAATGACGGATCGCTCCGAAAAGTCATCAGAGAATGAACTGAGCTGTGAGGGGGAGTTTTCCAGAAAGTGATGGGTGAGGCTGACTTGGGATGGTGGTGACTTAATTAAGAGCTCCTTTGCTGGCTGGAACAATGTGCTGAACACTGTCACCTTGGCTTGACCCAGGGGACTGAGGTGAGCAAGCTAAACCTGTGAGACAGCAGTGAAACTTAAGCCTTAATTCATGCCAAGCTGGGAATTCAGATATGCACACTCCAGGGACACAAACACACATGGACAGACCCTGAATGCTTCATTGTGATGTAATTCTCACTGAAATCAGTGAGAGTTTGGACCTGATACATATTTCAGACTTGCCCAACAACTCCTGCCAGTTTGCTCTAGACAGAGGTCTGAATCAAGCAGCTCCTCAGTTGGATGATAACCACCAGGGAGTCCTTGGGATGGGCTTTACCTTCCCTAAGGGGCACTGTGAAAAGCCAGTTCTAGTGGCAACTGCAGCCCAGGGGGAGGCAACAAACATCCACTGCTGCAGAAGTCACCAGGAATTACGGATGGGTCTGGCCTCTGTCATCAGCCTGGAGGGAGTGGGATATTCTCAAGAGCACAAAGTTCCTCCTGCGTTGGAGAAACAAAGGGGAGGGAACCAGATGACATCGTTTCCTGTTCTGTTTCCTATGACTTTCAAGGAGGAGAATTTTGGACCGAACGCTCCCACTCTGGGCAGAGCACAGCTGAGCTCAGCTGCACACAGGCTGCACAGCCACATCAGGGCCAGGCTGATGATCCTCATCTGGGGCAGCTTTCCTCGCTGCACTGAGCAACAACACAGCTCTGCACAGATGTAAGGATCCTCCTGAGCCAGGGAACCACACAGATCACACTTTGAAGCTCCTGCTCCTTGAAGAATGAGCTTTGAAGCAGCCAGACACAGCTTAGCTAGTCTGATGTCCAGACCCTTTAAGGTAAGAGCAGCCTTCCTTTGAAGCCAACCCAAGTTATGGGGTGCTCCACAGATGAGCCCCAAGTGTCATATCAGAATTGTTCCCAATCTCCTGATGCAATCCCAAAAAATATGTCAAAAAAACAAAAGAAGGGGGTGGATGGGTGGAAAGATCAGTGCAAGTGTTTGCTCACAGATTCAGGAAGCAAAAGATCCCAACTCCTGGAGCCACACACAAATTCTGGAAGGATTCACCTACGGCCCAAGTCAAGCACTTTTTCCCCTTTTTCTTTCCCTGAGCAACTGAGTGATTTATATTCCTACCAAAATGCCTCCGATGCTGCTTGTCTGAACCAAGGGGAGGAAACAGAGAGGGAGAATGAGGGGCATGTGTGGATGATCTCACTCCCTTCCCAGCTTCCAGCTGCCACATCTGGCAGGCAGCAAAGCCCCAGTATCTTGGAGGAACAAAAGGAACTGCTTGTACAGAACAGATGGACCCCACAGACCGGAATGCCACAGTGAGGTGTCCAGTCCAGAGACACTGAAAGACTGGAAATGAAGAATGCAATGGAAACCAAACTGAAGGCCAAAGTTTTAGGGCTCTTTTGTACTCTTTCAGATATATTTTAAAGATTTACAGGGAGTGAGAGGGATTGGGGTGCTCATCCATAGATAAATCAATGGGGAAATATGATAGTTAACTATATTAAGGTACTGGGCTAAGAGCTGAGCATTATCTCCCCTCACTGGTACATAATTTCTGTGCCTCCAGCAAACCACTTAGTCCCTTGGTATAAAAAAATCCACTACTGGTAAAATCTCATCAAAAGACCGAGAATTACAGGAATGGAAGATATGCAAGTGCCTAAGACAATTGCTCAGTTCCTCATAAGCACCCACAGCTGTTACTCTCCACAAGGGACTAGCTGCTGGTTAGTCCCTGGAAGTGTCTCAGCCTCTTCCCTTACCCACTGCAGACTGAACTCCTGATTTTGGACACATTCATCCCAATATGAAATACTTGAGGGCAAAGCAGAGATGTTATAAATTTGGGAAGTTCTCACCTCTTCAGGTCTGCTCAACACATGCCCTTCAGGGCCTGTGATCCCCAGCTCCAGGATCCTCTGCTGCTCCTAAGGAAGAGAGAAAAAGAGCAGGAAAAAGATTTAAAACAACAGGCAATTTTCCTTGCAGCACACACAGCTGTTGGAAAGGGGCACAAGTGAGATCCTAAGCATCTGTGCTGGCTAATAATCACATGGGGCTTTACATAAGGGCCCTGCAACAGTGTCCTGTCCAACTTGCCTCGCTGAGAATAACCAGAGCTCACAAAACCTTTGCTGATTTGTTCAGGGGAGGCCAAGGAAACCTTTTATTTGGATTTGCTTGACACTGGGTTCATAGCCCCTCGACATTCAGTACTCATTCGTGTCTATAACATCATCTCTAAGATGTGGCAAAATGATATTTCATGAAAAAAAAAATCAGCCTGCAACTGCAGGCAACTGGGCTCAAAGGTTTGGGTGGGCTCTTCCCCAGTCAGATAGCACAGAAATCCTCTGCATGCTTCAGACATGATGTATAAAATGAGCTGGAGATCAGATTGGGGTTTAAATCCAAATATATTATTAACATTTCTTCTTTGTTGCTGTTTGAAGGGTGAACAGATCCCCAACATCAGCATCCCAGGTACTGCATGAAGTTATATATCCCTTCCCACTCCATCTCTGTCTTATTTACTGCAGAACATTTTCTTGCACACAGTGACAGTCACACCCAGACAGTTCTTCACTTGTGGGTGGAAAGGCAGAGCTGGCCAGTCCCCCCCCAGACTGAGAGCTGCTTCATCAGTGGCAACAAGGGGATAAAATCTGCTGCCCAGCTCTGCTCACATCCCTGTGCCACGCTGTTAAAAGGCTAGGTGGCTTTGTTTGCAAAGCAGGGATTGGAATGGAAATCCTGCCAGCATTTTGGAGCTCTAACCCGTGGAACAAACAGGAGATACCTCAGCAATGATGTCACCGTTCTCAGCGTGCACTTGGGCCGTGGCACCAATGTCCCGGATCACGCTCAGGACCTCGTAGATCTGGGAGAGAGAACACAACTGCAGCCTGAGCACACCAGTTCACATCGACCCTCCAGGCTCCTTCTGCAAACAGCACTTTGCAGAATGGAAAAGTGGGGGAGAGGCAGCAGGGAATGTAAGATGTGCTTTGTGGGTAGATACAACTGATTTTCATGCCTGTCGCTGAACTTCCCAATCCCTGCAGTTGGATGTTAGTGATATGGCAAAGAAGGACTATTCTGTGGTAGGTTTGGAATATTTACCACACTGGAGAAAGAAATAGCAATGGTACAAACTCACAGCTGGAGTGACTTTAAAGAACTCAGAGCTGTGCCTGTTTCATACCTTCATTTACTGGCATGACAAACACCTCTCCCGTTTCAGTGGTGGGTGCAGGCACTCCATGCACTCCAGTGTCTGGAGGCAGGAGTGGAGTGATTTCCACTCCAGCACTCAGGCTGAGGGGGTCAGAGGGAGTGACCCACAGCTGGCGCCGTCAATGGTCCCTCCAGAGCCATCAGAGATAACTGTCACACCACCACCTCCTCCACTGCTCCCAGCACTCCCAGGCATTCCTCCCCTCCCACCACCTGACACACACAAACTGCCCCTCTCAACAATTAAACGTGCCCAAACAGAATAGCAAACTGCAGGGCAATGTATTTCTACGGTCCCAGAAACCAACTCTGGACTGGGATTAGTTTCAGCTTATAAACAGAGTCATTAACCCAGAGATCTCACTGTCCTGCCCTGTGCAAAGGCATAAAGCAGCAATTCATAAACCTGCCACTGCTTCCATCCCAAAGGAGCTGGACTAAAACCTCAGACCCCTCAAAATGAGAGTTTTGCTATTGTTTCCTCAGCCAAGACTTTCCAGGGGTTGTTGTTGGTTGGGGTTTTATTTAATTTGAAAAAATAATCTTCAAACCAGAGCTCTGGGTACTGTTGCAAATCTTAGGTACTACTGCAAAGCTCAGGTAGTGCTGGAAATCTGAGATAGTATTGCAAATCTTAGGTACTACCGCAAAGCTCAGGTAGAGTTGGAAATCTTAGATACTATGGCAAATCTTAGGTCCTGTTACAGACATAAAGACTGGAACCAGAAGAGAACATCAGACCCCGAATACTGAACCGAAACACTCCTGTGTGGCCAAGGCACAGCTTGCAGTGACAGAAGCACTGAACATGAGCTTTCCTACCTGAGAATCACTCAGCTGGAAGCGATCTTTGAAGGCCATGTATACCAGGAAGGAGTTCACACCTGTGAGGAACAGAGCACACTGCTGGCACAGATGAAACTACAAAACACTTGGGTCATCACAGAGAGAAGACACCCCCCCAGTCAGTCCCCAGCAAGCAGTAAGGATGGGGAGACACAGAAATCAGCCACATGGGATTTATTAACACAGCTAGGAGCTGTGGGCACAGCTAACCCCCATGGCCTCTACTTCACAGGGAAGTGGGAATGCTTCTGTGCATTCAGCACTGCAGGAGGCTGAGTGAAAAATGCAAGCAAAATGCAGAGACTGGGCCTGGCTGATCCCACACTCCCTGGGATCCCTGTAATGTGTCCATGCTGACCAGACACAGGGACTGCTCCGAGTCAAATCTTCCCTCTCCTGCCTCCAGAGCCAGTGAAAGCTCTGACCCAACCCATGTGGAGGGTGTCAAAGGTTGAGGTTTCAAACTATAAACAGGATGGAAAATTACTGTAGCCTAAGGATGAAATGCTAAGGAAATTAAAGAGGGGGAAAACCCTCATTTTATTCTGCTCTTCACTTTTAACGATCAGAGCTGGATTATTCCTTCTAGGCCTGATACTTCCCTTGTTTATAGCAGTTTAACAGCTACAATTATCACCTACCTGCACTACTGGGACTCAAAGGGTCTCCACTGGACAGAGGTGCTCCTTCTGCATGGCAGCAGGAAGAGCTTCACCTTTGTGCCCCATGCCCTGAACCCTCTCCAGCACTGACTGCCCAAACCTTCACAAGGGCCAGAATGGCCCAAACAGCTTTACTGGGATGTAAGAGTAATGTATTCCACAAGAGCCAGTGCAAAAATATAGGGAGCCAGTCCTAAAAACCAAGGAGGGGAAAGGCTTCCCTGAACTTACCATGATCTTTAACCAGAGCTTCCATCTCCTCCTGGACCCCTTTGTGCCACTCGGTGATATCCACGTGCAGGGAGTAGTCACAGCAGGATTTGCTGTCTGCCCATTCTCGCCACTGGTCAAATGCAGTCAGCAAACTGGTCCCTGGCTCAGGAACCACATGATCAACTGGGAAAGACAACCAAAGCACTGGTGAATGGCTGGCCCAGCAGCTTCCCTGGATGCCCAAGACAGCAAGCACACTTGGCAGAAGCTGCTGCAAAAACAAGACATTCCCTTCCCCTTCAAAGACTTGAATTGGAAATGGCTAAATGGTTTCTAAAGCTCCACAGCTGAGAAAGCAGCCAGGAAGATGATTACAGAGCAGAAGGTGAAGGAAATAGTTGTTACTACAGCCTGTTTACTGTAATTGTTGGTGCTACACATCCCAACCAAGAGCACCTTCCAGAGACAAGCGAGGACTGGAAGAGGCAGGACCAACACTGTCTCATGGCTAGAGAGACTCCTGACAACAAAAAGGTCCTGCTGCCTCTGGCACCTGCTCAGTCTGATCCTCACTCCAGCCCAGCACATCAGGTCCAGCAGCAACTGGGTTCACAGGCAGCTGCAGGAACTCCACCAGTGCTCCAGATGCAACACAGCTGCAAAGGGTAACACAAGAGACTTGGATCTGAAGGTTTAGTGTTCCTGGTTTCCATTTGTGCATAAAGAATCTCCAAGACCTTTACTAGACACAGTGAAATAAGCAAGCCACTATCTCCAACACTGAACTGCTGCTGAGACAGTAGGAAAAAGCCTGTGGGACTTCAGGGGTCACAAACTGGGCAGGCATTGCTGGGGAGGAGGAGAGGACCCTGGCTTGATTCTACATCAAAACACACCAAAAAAAAAAAAAACCAACCAAAAGTTGCTTCAATTGTCAGCAGAGAAATGCAGGAGGGTTATTTTTAACTTCACTGGTGAGTATCTGGGCTGCCATCAGCTCAGCAGCTTGCTCTAAATCACAGCTGGGATAAGAGACAGAGTCCCTGGGTCCTTTTTGTTCTCACTGAAGAACAAAGCTTTGCTTCACCCCCACACAGACACATCAGCCAAGATTTACTGGGTTTGTGCTGCCTTAAGAACTGGATTTACACCAGGAGCTCTCTCCCTGCTGCAAAGGCAGCACAGCTCTGCTGAACGACCCTGAGTGGTGCAAGCACTGCAGAAAGCCAAGAGACTACCCAAACCCACCATCCCTCCCTCCCCCAAAGCTCTGCCCACCCTCTCCTTCTGCAGAGGTGACTGTGACAGCAGAACAGCAGGTAGAGTATCTGTGCCCTCCCAAAAGGTCTGTGCTTGCCCCTTGCAGCATCACTGCCCTGCCAAGGGATCCTGGAAAGGAGAATGAAGATTGATTCTTCACCTGCTGTTAAAAGAACTGGGCACTGCAACTGCTTCTGCCTGTTGGTATGGGCAGGAATGGCCCACATGCAGCTCAGAGGAAGCTCTGCCAGTCCTCAGGCACAGCTCAAGAGCTCAGAGTAAAACAAAAAGCTTTTTCTTGAAGGTCTCTGTGCTTCAGAGAAGTTCAAAGCAGCCCATGAAAGCTCCATCCCACAGTGTTCCCACAGCCCCAGGCTCCCAGGATGACCCTTGGGTATGATGTACCACAGGACCATGGACACAAGGTCTTCTGACCCACCAAAGCACACAGCAAATTCAGCCATGGAGATTTCCCAGGAGGCTTCCCATGTGAAAAGCTGTGCTGTCCTGACCCTGCTGAGCTGCTGCTCCCTTGGGAGTGCAGCAATTCACTGCCCCATCCTTCCTTCACCTCAGAAACCAGGAATGTTCAGCCCCTGGAGCAGCCTCACTGCAGGACACACACACTCAGGACAAGCTGAGTGTGTTGTTGGCACAAAGGCTGTTGTCACCCCTTTAATCTCTACACAAGGCTACAGCCTTGATCTCATGGTGCTTCCCAGCCCAGATGTTTTCTTCCTGTTGCTGATTATTGCTGTACAAATGATGTCATCTGCTGAGGTCTGAAAAGGAAGTTGCCAGCTCAAATTTAAACTCAAAGCTTGCCCCAAAAACAGAAGCGAAATAAAGGGAAAAAAAAAAAAAAAGAAAAGATCATTTAAGTATCACTTCATCAGTGCTGAAATCTTCAAAGGAGGATTGAACAGCTTGTGGGCCCTGCAGTGGCTCCCTGAACCAGAGGGAATTTCAGGCCTGTCCTGATGTTTCTCTCTCACATGCACTCTCAGGAAGTTACATGGCAAAGCCAAGGATAGGATTGCAGTGGTTTCTCAGCTATGAGTGGAAAACTGTTCTGCAGATTTGTCTTCTAACCTCTGAGTTGCAACATCCAAAACCCAACAGGCTGTGGCTGAGGAGCAGGAAGGCCTGTTCCATCAGCAAAGTAACTGCTTTGTATGGAAAAAAGGAATTTAAAAGGATTTTTATGTTGGAAATAATCTAATTTTTCCCTTGGTGCAAGACTGACAGGATTCCAAAGTGACTAGATAGCCTGTTTATCTGTTTCCCAGACAATGGGAGCCCTCACCTCCCTGCCAGGGGAGTGGGATTTGAGCACCTGCACACACACATGCCCTGACTGCTCCAGCCATAATCACTAAGACTCCCAATTACCTCTCTGGTGCCTGGTTTTGCTCTCCTGTCATTACACAGTCTCTCGTGGCTTACAAGGTGCATCTGCTCTTCCTTCCCAACATCTCAGCTCCCACCCAGCTAACATCCAGGGCTGCTTTCCTGTCTCCCTCGTGACCCTTCGCTCCTCCTTGGGCAGATTAATCGGCTCAGGATTAAAGGCAGGCAATAAACTGGAGTGAGACCACAACACTAACCATTGCTGGCTTAACCCTGTGGCTCTCCCATCCCAGAACTGGCATCCAGCCACATCCAAGGACCCAACATGGGTGGATGCTGGGGACACATTCCCACCACACCAAGCACTTGGTGTGAACTGAGAGGGGAATGGGTTTAAGGGGAATGTTCCAAGCACGGGGAGAATAAAGTGCTACTGTTTTAACATAAGCATGGAAAATCTAAGGAGAGCAGGAGAAGCGATGGCATCACCTTAGAAACTTCTAGCATTACTAATCACATATTAACACATCGTTATCACATATTAGCATATAAACTGCATTATGACCCAATTCTACCATAATCCCACACATGGACACACAAGAAATTAAGAAGCTCAGATCATTCCCGCTCCTTTGTTCTAGAATTTATAAAACCATGGAATATCCCGAGTTGGAAGGGATCATCAAGTCCAACTACTGACTCCACACTGGGCAACCTAAAAGTTAACCTGCACTCAGGCTGGCTTTAGACACCTCTTTGTCTTCCTTCAGCTGCTCCTTGACTTCAAAACCATTCCTTGTGCTGCACAGCCCACTGAGCTTGGTGCCAATCTCAGCTTTGAACAGTGGCTTTAGAAAATATTGTATCACATCTTGGCTCCCTTTTCCAAGCTTGGATCCACTGGGGCTTTCTGGTCCCTAAGAGCTTTGCTGCAGCAGGACGATATCTGCCCCTGGACGAGGAGGGAGGTGGGCACAAGGGACCCAGCACAGAAGGCTGAGGAATTACCAACAGCCTGCAGGATGCTCTGAGACCCAAGCCATAAAAAAATCCCATATAATCTCTTTCTGGCACCTGGAATCTCTCAAAAAACAACTCAGTTTCAGAGCCAGGCCTTTATATTTCTGACCCCTCGCTAAGCTCAAGAGAAATTACTGCTGCAGTGGGAGAGCTGAATGCAGCTATTTGCCTTGCCTTGAAAACAAACCTCTGCTTTCTGGAGGGATGTCCTCATGGGTGGGGATTAATGGGTTTTATAGCTTCCTGGTATTGTGGCTCTGCTTTTTTTTTTCTTTGCATCCTGCCTGCCTTGCGCAGGCCTTGGCTTGCAAGCAGCCCCTTCCTGAAGCTTCTATTAATAGCCCCTGCTTCCAGCCTTCCCCTGCAAAGGATTTTTTTCAACTGGTTTAATTATGTGTCATCCGAAGCATGCATGAAAATCCTGCCCAGGCTTCAGCTAATGAGCACCACTACCAGGAAGGAGAAAAACTATTTGATACGGACAATATAAACATGAATTAAGGTCAGATGTTACAAAAACTGTGTATGCAGTAAAAGCATGTGTTCAGAGTTCCAGTTGCTATTATAAACTGCACTTTTACACATTATTTCCTGCTCCTACTAGCATCAAATGTGCCCTATTGTTTAAGAGGAGTTTATAAGGTGAAAATCCTTAACATTTAAGCTTAACTGTTAGCAGGCAGATTTCCCTACCCAAAACTTTAAATAGCAGCTTGATCACTATAAACACATCTGCCTGTTTAATACTACTTAATCCCCAAAGCAACTGCATGTGATGAAATCTGGTGAATTTATTGAGTTGTACATTCTGTCACAAGCCATTTTATTGAGAGGCTGTAATTAAATTCAGCCCTGGTAATTGCACAGCTCCCTGCTTAAAAGTCTGGAGTTGCTGCTAGTCCATGGCTGCAGGAATATTCTCTTGGCACTGGTGTGAGCTGGGAGTAATGCTGTGAAAACAAGTGGAATAAAATCAATACACATGAACTGAAAGTCAGGCCCCCAGCTGACCCAAGAAGCTTCATAGGAGATTATCCTATAATCACAGACCTTATTTCATCAAGAGACTTCAAATTGACAGCTAGTAAAAATGTCACAATCCCTTCTACTCTTAGGTACTGCATCATGACCCTTTTATGTGTCAAGAAATTGAGGCACCAAGAGCTGCCTTGTCCAGTGACAGGGTTGCTCCAGAGTCAAACCTCCCAGCAACAAAACTTCTCCTTGAAGTACTGAAACCACCACCAGCTCTGCAGCCCTGCACCCCCCAGGCCAGAGAGACACCTCAGCACTTCTCCTAAGCTCAAAAACCCCAAATCAAGTAACCTGGAAGAGCCTCACATCTTCTACGTTCTGATTTCATCCCATTTCTTGCTCTGAACCACACTCCAGGTCACATTTTTGATCTAGGACAAGGAAGGGCAGTGATGACATCACACTGAAGGCAACTGCTTTGTGTGTCTGGTGCACCTGAGCAGCTGCACTGGAAGGTGAGAAGTCAAAGGAAGGATTTTCTGAACATCCTGGTTCCAGCAATCAGATTTCAGCTTCGC